TGGGTGGATGGGTGGATGGGTGGATGGGTGGATGGGTGGATGGATGGATGGATGGGTGGATGGATGGGTGGATGGATGGGTGGATGGATGGATGGGTGGATGGATGGGTGGATGGATGGGTGGATGGATGGGTGGATGGATGGGTGGATGGATGGGTGGATGGATGGGTGGATGGATGGGTGGATGGATGGGTGGATGGATGGGTGGATGGATGGGTGGATGGATGGGTGGATGGATGGGTGGATGGATGGTTGGATGGGTGTCCTGAACGGGTGGACGCTGAAAAAACGTGTTTGCATATGAATATCTCGTTGAAATAATATTGTCTTGACACCGAGCCATGTTTTAATGCCAATAAAAATGCAAAGACCAAGTGTGTGTTTACCTTTGCCTGCTGGGCTTGAAGCTCAGCTTTCAGCACTCCCTCCTCGGCATCGCGGAACCGTGACTGCATTTTCTCATCCTGCAATTGTCTTTGTTGACGAAGCTTCTCGTCCATTTTCAACTTGTCCATTGCTCTTCTTTCCTCTGCCAAGCGCAGTGCCTCTTGTTGCCGTTGCCGTAGCAACTCTAGCTGCCGCTGCATGTTTAGTTCGGCATCACCGGAGTGTGGCGGCGATGGTGATGATGAGGTTCGGATGTGACTGGATATAGACTGTCCCAAGTTAGGTTCTCCTCTCTCTTGATACTGCAAGAAATCATAGTCGAATGGCAAAACAACGTCACAGCTATCTGCACATACACGACCAGTGACCAGAGTGACCAGAGAATAACACACAATGGAGTCACAATACATAGTACAGTATAGCACTAGCAATCCGCTGTATTACTAAACCGTAGCTGTGCCTTAGGATCTCTAAAGACAGGTGGCTCTTTGCTATCCTGGCCATGGCTATCCTGGCCATGGCTATCCTGGCCATGGCTATCCTGGCCATGGCTATCCTGGCCATGGCTATCCTGGCCATGGCTATCCTGGCCATGGCTATCCTGGCCATGGCTATCCTGGCCATGGCTATCCTGGCCATGGCTATCCTGGCCATGGCTATCCTGGCCATGGCTATCCTGGCCATGGCTATCCTGGCCATGGCTATCCTGGCCATGGCTATCCTGGCCATGGCTATCCTGGCCATGGCTATCCTGGCCATGGCTATCCTGGCCATGGCTATCCTGGCCATGGCTATCCTGGCCATGGCTATCCTGGCCATGGCTAAACTGTGGGTTTACTGTACATGTACTTAGCATATAGTGCCAGTATGAAATGACAGAGACAACAACCCTGGTACACTCGCTGTTATCACTGCAATACTCGCACATACCACATTATCATCTGACAGTGAGGAGAGACTTGATATGTACATGTACACTAATTTCCAATAAGGAAGGTAGCAAACTGGCTACACTGCACTGGACACTAACACCTGTCATGTACTAGCCGCATTGTAGCACATCGCACTGCACTGCATTAAACCACACTGCATCAAGCGACACTGTGATACCATTCTGCTAGCCAAATACATGTAACAAGCATATGGCTGAGCTTCAACAAAAGCATTGTAAACCTCTCACCTGTGGTAGGTCTTCAGTATGGTGGAATGGATCAGAACTTGAGGGCTGCAGCATGTAAGAATGCACAGACATAACATGACAGCAATACACATGCAAATAGAGCTCACGTGCAAATAGAGCGCGTGACATGCAGAGTTTGTCAAGCCCCACGCACACATAGGAGTTTTATGGTGCTCTAGCAGCACACTGTGACATATGGACTTTGCAATAACACTCTCAAACAGCAGTCATAGCAACCTGGAAGACCTGAGAAAACAGCTTACTTCAGCACCCACTCCACACTCAAACAACACAAGAATATTATCCGTGTACTTCCTGCATGACAGCAAGACCTTCAAAGAGAACCCAATAGGAGAAATTGATCGTAAATATTCTACAGAACTGTGGACATGTAGATGAAATAGGGTGAAATCTAAAGGTGTCAATTAGCAACAACACGCCTTCCTGACATTGATAGCGAAGTGAGGTGGCAACACCATGAACAAATCATACTACCACTTTGCACGCACTCAGTCATACTACCACTTTTCACGCACTCAGTCATACTACCACTTTGCACTTTGCACTCGGTAAAAACAAATACATGTAATTGGCAAGTAGGGACTTCAAGCCATAGTTTCATCTCGGTGATGAGTGAAGTCAATGGCAGATGCTAGTACTTCGAAGCACATGCATTCTCAGTCTCAGTGCTTTGGCAACCTTCTTTTCCTATAGGTACCAACAATGTAGAGTTGAGAAGAAGCACCGAGGCTATTGTCGTCCTGACTGCAATACTTCCCGACTCTTACCATGGAGAGTGACGAGGGCTGGTCCATGTCACGAACTTTAGTTGAAGCAAAATACCACGAGCTTGGGCTCATTGCTCTGTCATCCATCTGGAACTTGAAGATGTCACGGGCCACAGCCACAAACTCTGCAAGACAAACACGGATGAGACAAAATGTTGTTGTCGTGGTAATACCTGGAAAACGATCACTCCCTACCAGCAAATAGCACCTATGACCGCACAGTGCAGAATTCCAAAGCAGCACGTGTTGAATCATGTGTTATTTGGGCACCCTGACCTGCAAACTGTACTGAGCCATCATCGCCAATGTTTACACGGCTGAAAAGCTCATCGCGCTGTTCCTGCGTTGGCCGGAATCCAAGGAAATCCAGGGCCTGTACACAACACAGTAATGTGAAACACCATTCGGAGCATGGAGAACAATTGGCATGCATGTGTGAGGGGCATACACAGCTGACAAGTAGTAAATAACTGGGGTGGAATGTTTAAGGTCAGCATTCCGCCACACCCCACAATGTGCCGTGTGATATATTCTCTTGCACACTTCCCGTACACGGACTGAGTTTGAAACTGTTCAAGGTTTCCTGGACTTGTTTTGAAAAAAGCTTACCATTCCAAGCTTGTCCACGCTTAGCTTAGCCGACGGATCAATGTTCATACCTTGACGAGCTGGGCTGAAGATTGAGGACGCCGATGATGAACCAGATCGGTTACCAGGGTCTGTAAGAAATACAATGTTGACAAATTGATCAGTCAAGAAATCACCACTAGAAACTTCCTATGGGAATACTAATGATCATCGAATGCAATTACAGGGTGTATAATCACTAGAGGAGCAATAGAGAGCATACTTGATAGCAACTGCCAACCCACACATGGATACAACCTATACCACAGTAAACGAAGGCAAACTCAAATTTCAGCTGCCGAGTGAATGGGCAACAGAACTCCACCATTGCGTGAGAAGGATACAATCATGTGTATGTGTATGTACACATACACATACACATAGGCCAAGCATACATGTGCGGTGGTAGCTGATGATAGGCACACAGTGAACAAAGTACAGCACCATCACACAGAACAGGGTCACAGCATCACACAGGAGAACAGGGCCACAGCATCACACAGGAGAACAGGGCCACAGCATCACACAGGAGAACAGGGCCGCAGCATCACACAGGAGAACAGGGCCACAGCATCACACAGGAGAACAGGGCCGCAGCATCACACAGGAGAACAGGGCCACAGCATCACACAGGAGAACAGGGCCACAGCATCACACAGGAGAACAGGGCCACAGCATCACACAGGAGAACAGGGCCACAGCATCACACAGGAGAACAGGGCCACAGCATCACACAGGAGAACAGGGCCACAGCATCACACAGGAGAACAGGGCCACAGCATCACACAGGAGAACAGGGCCACAGCATCACACAGGAGAACAGGGCCACAGCATCACACAGAAGAACAGGGCCACAGCATCACACAGGAGAACAGGGCCACAGCATCACACAGGAGAAAAGGGCCACAGCATCACACAGGAGAACCGGGCCACAGCATCACACAGGAGAACAGGGCCGCAGCATCACACAGGAGAACAGGGCCGCAGCATCACACAGGAGAACAGGGCCACAGCATCACACAGGAGAACAGGGCCGCAGCATCACACAGGAGAACAGGGCCGCAGCATCACACAAGAGAACAGGGGCATAGCACTGGGACTTCAGGTGCTCCGGCCAAATGGGATTCTTCATGGCCAGCAATCGAGGACATCTGGGAGTTGTAATGTTTGTACTCCTTCCAGGTGTGATTTTAGGCCTGGTCCAAGCACAAGGAGAAGCCTTCTGCCGAAAAAAAACTGAAGAAAACGGCTGTTGTTCGATCCTTTGATGTAATCTTTTTAGGTAGTCAAAGTTTGTTGCTGTTTGGAGCAGGAGAGATGCGGAGTTGCACACTCTTGTTTGTCTACTCTTGGTTAAAGGGAATAAAGAAGGAAGGAAGGAAGGGTAAAAACTTACTGATAGGTGTAGATACAGAATCATTCTGGTGTGAGCCCCGACTTTGAGTTGTTGCATACACTGGCAGCGGCTGTGAGCGTCCATCACGACCAGGCGTTGCTGTGCGCGGTGATGGAGTTGGCCTTGCTGCCTCGTCTATTGCTGCCAACCCGGACCCTGACTGAGTCTGTGCCGGAGCTGCTGCTGTAGGCTTGCCAGTTCTCCTTGGCATGATATGTACATCGTCTTGATCTGTCACACCACTTTCTTGTAGACCATCATGGAAATCCCGCACATTGGCAGCACTGGGTCCAGCTGTGGTGCCGGTTGGAATCTCCCCAGTCCTTTCACTATCCAGGAATGTTGGCCGGTAGTTTTCAACAACAGCTGCATGAGATGAGGCAGTGGAGAGTGGTGTTTCATCCTGCGTGGGCAAGTCTCCCACCAGTATAGAATCTGTGCTGGTGGTGGCGGTGGTGGCAGTGGTATGATCCTCATCACCGGCCGCCGATGCTGTGCTAGTGCGATCTGCCATTCCACTACTACTCCTTGGCTTGCCACGGACATAGGCAAAGCGGACTGACTTGATGGATTTCCTGTAACAACCCAGATCAGAACGGGTGCATGCTTACAGCATACAAATATCTAGACTACAGAAATGGACTAGGAAAATGGACCCCCTCCCCTCCCTTCCCTACCCATGCATGTGCATGTTGTCCATGCACATCACCTTCACACTTTAGGAGCAATGACAAAAATAAGAAACTTCCCTGATAGAAACCCAGTCCCAGTAGTGTAATCCTGGCCAGTACAACCATATGCTGTCTATACATCCACTGGCACCATGTGTCAACCACCACTAATACAGCACAGGCAGCACACTCTGAGATGACTCACCGAAGCTTGAGACGCGTGAGCACAGACATGGCTTTCTCCAAGGTCACTCCAATCATTGCATCACCGTTGATTGAGAGGACCTGATCACCCACATTCAGTCTCCCGTCCTGATATCAACACAGAACACCGTAACCAGAACTGTTGGCAGTCAGTTCAGTGGGCTTGAAGACACGGGGGGGGGGGGGGGGAGGGGGGAGGGGGGGGGGGAAGGAGGAGAAAAGATTGGTAAGATCTAACAGTAAGGTATCGTAATGGGTCCCATCACTTGTACACTCACTGCACAGTACGGTAAAGACATGATGGAATACTAGACTGACTGTGACGCACAAGCACACATAGTTACACACACATACCCACATGTACAGATGAAAGCATGGTTGCACTTTCACATGCACATGCACATGCACATGCACATGCACAATATACAACAGCACCACAGCAGCTGACTTGAACTGACCTTAGCAACATCACCACCCTCTATAATGTTGTCAATGTAGATATTGGGTCCCTCGGGTCTATTGATACCACCGCTCACGCTGATGCCAAGTCCAGACACAATACCAATAGTGACATGCTCAATATCCAGATGTTCTGATGTTTGAGACTGTGAAGACGGTGACGGGGAAAGATCATCTCCGCCTGCGCCAGTTGTACCAACATTCGCTTCAGCCTCCATATCCAACTGCAGATCCTTAGCAGTCTCTTGCGACGGAGTGCCACCATCTCCTGGTGGTGAGCTTGCTGGTAACGGTGGTGGACTGGTACTAGGGGGACGTGCCTCTTGCGGAGCCAGGTTCTCCATCAAGCGGTGTGAACTAGCACTGGAAGAAATGGTGGCAATAGAAGGGGAAGCACCAGCCGAGGATAGCATGGAGGAGTCTGCTTGCAATCTTTTCAACGGTGATTCACCTAGCTCTGATGCAGACGCAGACGCAGAGAGGCTCTGTGAGGACGCTGTGGGACTCAGTGCCGGGGCACTAGTTCGACGACTCATTTTGGCTGCACAGAAAAATAAGAGCGCATACAAGAACACGATGATCCAGCTAACATGGGCACAACACAACTACCAGGCTTGTTTAGCATACCAAGCATCACTATCATCAAAGTCAGGGTTTCCTTCAACCAGATTTCAGCACCAGACTCACAGACCAGGAGCGTTACAGCCGGTCCGACCGGTCCGGCTTTGGCCGGACCACTTTTTCGCCCACAAGTGCCCAGAATGCAGGATTTTGCACCCTAATCTAAAATAATTCCCGCGTGACATCCCCCGGATCCCCTCCAGCCAGGCCCAGGCCACCTTCAACGGCGGTGCTACGCGCCTGCAGAAACTGTGGAACAACACAATAATAGTGTGGCGGGCTGTGCACTGACTACAAAGCAGCTTGCCACATTCCAAACAACGATCTCTACAAATGTTCTACATGTACACGTCACAGACAACAAGGACTGTAAACTAAGTCCATTGGTAAACCAACCTTTCTTACCTTTCTTTCTCATCTCGCCCGTCAAGGCGTGGAAGCTTACCCTGGCATAACAAATACAGAGCACAAAACACAGTGTGAGGCTAAGCTTAGAACTGTGCAGTGCACTACAATCTCCACCATCAGCAACCATCAACATGACGACCAACATTGACCATCAACACTTTCAACAACAACAACCAACAAGTTCAGTTCATGATCAGGTATTTGTTAGCCACACATGCACGTATGTTCTTGCGCCGACAACAGCATACCTTGATTCGTCATCACGTGCGACGACCAGAAGCACTCTGTTGGATTTGGCACATTCTTTCAGCAGAGAGACGGCCCTGGATACGTAGAGAACCAATGCATGTAAATATGTAAATACAACCTACCATAGGAATGTGCGAAAGATGCAGACTGAAGCGACATACTGTCCTGTGAATATGGTATTAAAAAAAGACCATACACATTCAACGCCCACTGTCAACGTCTGATAGCGATGCTACCATAGAAGCCAGAAAAACTTGTGATGGGATTGCCTCACTCAACAGCTTGTAGGATTGAAGAATTGATCACCACTACTAGTACTTCGCATGGTCTACTTCATACAGCTTCTAGAAGTGGTCTAACAGACTTTTTCCCTCGACTTCTGGCTGGTGAATCCCTTGGTTTGGTCTTGCACACACAGGCACGCACAGACAGACGAACGGACGGATGGGCACACGGACAGACGGACGGGTGGACGGACAGACCGACAGACAGATACAGACACCACATCACATACTCCAGGATGTACTGGTTGCTGGCTATCAGCAGGACTGAACCGAGGGAACGTCAGGAGGAGAAAGAGAAAGACGGACATTACACATGCATGCCCACACAATAGGACAGCCAGCTTCTAAGGCAAAACTGAAGTCCAGTGAGAGTACAACACCAGCTTACCTGTCACATGTGATGCCTTCCAGGCTTTCATCATTAGCTGATAACAGCTGATCTCCTCTTCGTAATGTACCTGCCATATTCAGTGCAGAGCATGTCATAATAGTATGCAAGCCCTGAGTCAAATTGCACTGTACATGTATGCACTGTACATGTATGCACAGTGTATGCATGACTTCATGCTCGAGTAACAGTCAATACAAAGGCAATGCCAGTTGATACATGATCTGCCAGTTGATACATGATCTGCCAGTTGATACATGATCTGCCAGTTGATACATGATCTGAACGGTGTTAGCCGTGTAGTCATCCATCACGCTGGCATTGCCCCACAACGGGTGCTCAACGAGAGGATGTATGCCCTAAAACTTGTCACATTTTAGAAATAGTTCCCAAGGTAATTTAGCAAGTCGCATATTCTATTTAAACCTCGTTTACCTTCGCGGCTGGCAAGGCGACCTTGGACTAACTCCTTGACAAATATGCCACAGTCCAGTTCTTCAGTCACACCAGTACCACCAACAATACGGATTCCTAAATACATATACCAGTCAAAGCAGGTAGGGAGAGAGAGAGAGAGAGAGAGAGAGAGAGAGAGAGAGAGAGAGAGAGAGAGAGAGAGAGAGAGAGAGAGAGAGAGAGAGAGAGAAAAGGAAAACACACCACAGCAGAAGTTTGCACATTTCAGGCTTTTCAATGCTCAAGGAGAGCTGGTATACTAATAAACAGTTGCCCCGTGCAGCGTATAGTAAGTACAAGTAACAGTGGGATCGCTAAGTAGTTAGTACCCACATGGCATATGGGTGCGAAGAGACGACGACACTTCGTACGAGAACTGCACCGATATCAAACGATTGACTCTAACTTGATGGTAGTGGTCTCTCTCAGCATATGGAGGTTCTGTGTGTCCTTACACATTCTTAGGGTGGAGGTGGTATGAAAAGCTCAAAGCTATGCACACCTGTGCTGTGTTTGTAGCATATGAAATTCACTGGCACGTGAACTGCATTCCGGGAGAGCTTGAATTTCAATGTCAGATTGCTCTACTTCCTGCGCCAACATACCATGCTACCAACATCGGCACTGTGACATGCTGCAAACCATACAGTACATACAGTACATACAGTACATACAGTACATACAGTACATACAGTACATGCATGTACTGACTGAGCACAACAATGTAATGTGTGAACTCAGCACTGAGCAGTATTCTCCTTACCCAGGCCTTTCTTGCAATCATTCAAGTCCACATGGAATGTGCTCCTGTCTTCACTCGCCATGATTCACATACCACACTGATGACCTCTGACCACGCGCGCCACTGCTACACCTGCATGTGAACATTTAAATAGCATGGTAACAAGGAACATTGCCATGTTAGTGCACCAGACAAGCAGGGCATGCAACCTGTGTATGGTCAGAATTGTAACCATGAACAACGTCATACTGAAGCATGTGACTAGTGCTTCTGAGAGGACAGTAAAACCTCAGTGTCAAGGCAACCACTCGGATAAGGCGACCACCTGTCCTAGAAGACCACTGCAACCAGGACAAAGGGATGCTATTTCCAGTCAATTGACCCTGGATAAGGCGACCACCTGGAGACAGAGACCACGTTTTGAAGGTCCCTTGAGCAGCGGTCGTCTTACACAGGTTTCACTGTACTTGCATATTCGATTAGCTGCCGGCGATAAAATTTATCAGCAGCAGCATTATCAACTACAGTCAGACTTCGCATAACCGCACACATCCGCCGAGTTTTCCAGAAAACAATCCGGATAGGCGAGGGAACCGGATAATCGAGCACACATACTGTGTGTGTGCACGGCATGTGCTGTAAATCGGTGACCAACGATTTTCTTCCGGATGGCGATGGATCCGGATAAAAGAGGACCGGATAAGCGAGGTCTGACTGCATTGCCGTGGACATGGAAATTCAATCGATTGACCGGGGCCTTCAGCGTGCACAGAACGTTGCATGCAGTGCACAGTCATCTTGATCCGATGCGACCGGCGCGCTGCAGCGCATATAATACATGCATATGTGTACTGCTTACCCGCAGCTGCATGGCCAGCGCCCTGGGGCCACTAGACGTGCAACCGGATTTCCATGTCCACGGCAGTACAATGGCATGTACTTGTACAATGTTGGCCAGTGAAATACAACCACTTGCTCGCAAAACTGCATGACAACTAGCACAGTGGAGAAGTGAACTAAGCGGCTGGGTTGCACAACTCAGTGCAGGGTGACATGGCCTGCTTGACTCAAGGGCGGGGAGGTGGGGAGGGGGGGGGGGCAGAAAGTGTGTCTGTGATTGGATTTCACTGGCAAGCACTGTCCATGTACAACTGTAATTGCAGCAGCTCAGTTATGTACGGGGTAACATTCAGACCAAACTCATACGCCCAACATGTGTTCTCCTAGTGCTGTGGCAAATGAAGTTGAAGTTCCTGAATAAAGCGGAGCTATGCCTACAGCTTAGCAGAGCCATGCCTACAGCTTAGCAGAGCCATGTCCACAGCTTCACAGAGCCATGCCCACAGCTTAGCAGAGTCATGTCCACAGCTTAGCAGAGTCGCGTCCACAGCTTACTACAGCTTAGCACAGCCATGTCCACAGCCTAGCAGAGTCATGTCCACAGCTTAGCAGAGTCATGTCCACAGCTTAGCAGAGCCATGCCCAAAGCTTAACAGAGTCATGTCCACAGCTTAGCAGAGTCACGTCCACAGCTTAGCAGAGCCATGTCCACAGCTTAGCAGAGCCATGTCCACAGCTTAGCAGAGCCATGTCCACAGCTTAGCAGAGCCATGTCCACAGCTTAGCAGAGCCATGTCCACAGCTTAGCAGAGCCATGCCCACAGCTTAGCAGAGCCATGTCCACAGCTTAGCAGAGTCATGTCCACAGCTTAGCAGAGTCATGTCCACAGCTTAGCAGAGTCGCGTCCACAGCTTACTACAGCTTAGCAGAGTCATGTCCACAGCTTAGCAGAGTCATGCCCAAAGCTTAACAGAGTCATGTCCACAGCTTAGCAGAGTCATGTCCACAGCTTAGCAGAGTCACGTCCACAGCTTAGCAGAGCCATGTCCACAGCTTAGCAGATCCATGTCCACAGCTTAGCAGAGCCATGTCCACAGCTTAGCAGAGCCATGTCCACAGCTTAGCAGAGCCATGTCCACAGCTTAGCAGAGCCACGTCCACAGCTTAGCAGAGCCATGCCCACAGCTTCGCAGAGTCACGTCCACAGCTTAGCAGAGCCATGTCCACAGCTTAGCAGAGTCATGTCCACAGCTCAGCAGAGCCATGTCCACAGCTCAGCAGAGCCATGTCCACAGCTCAGCAGAGCCATGTCCACAGCTTAGCAGAGCCATGCCCACAGCTTAGCAGAATCATGTCCACAGCTTAGCAGAGTCACGTCCACAGCTTAGCAGAGCCATGTCCACAGCTTAGCAGAGCCATGCCCACAGCTTAGCAGAGCCATGTCCACAGCTTAGCAGAGTCATGTCCACAGTATAGCAGAGCCATGTCCACAGCATAGCAGAGCCATGTCCACAGCTCAGCAGAGCCATGTCCACAGCTTAGCAGAGTCATATCCACAGCTTAGCAGAGCCATGTACACAGATTAGCAGAGTCACGTCCACAGCTTAGCAGAGCCATGCCCACAGCTTAGCAGAGCCGCGATATCCACAGCTTAGCAGTGCACCTTCCTTCGGCCTCCCATATGAAACTCGCAGCAACGGCATGTGGGAGACCCAGAACAAAATAAGAGCGGCTATTATAACCCAATGCTGGAACTGCTATATCCGTTTCGACGGATTTCATTTGCCACCATCGTACTATTGCAACCATGTACAGTCATGTACATGTTCAAGTACCGGTAACCGGTAACCGGTGCATGTATAGTAGAACATTGATCATACAAACCCTTCAGGGAAGACACCACTCAGAAGGGGTTTGGATGTGGAAAATGTTTGGATAATGAGAGAGTTACAGATACGCGAGCAGTATATAATAGGTCTCGCACATGCATGTCATACAGTTTCACCGTCAAAACTGTGTATAAGTTTATGTACTAGTGGTTATACCATGTATTGACGGGCAGGCAAGCAGCATCCCAGCCACCGATGCTCTATTGTACATGCAGCATGGTTTCTGAAGAATGGCAAGCCGAGACGCAGCAGCGTTCGACCCTTTCGTTCAATACAAGTTAGGACTTGCCGCCATGGCCCCATACACACACACACACACGCACTCTCTCTCTTTCTCTCTCTCTCCACATCACTCAGCAAACCAGCAACAAAGCTGCGACGGCAAGTAAGATACTGGTAATACTGGTATTGACTCTTTGCCATACATGTACAAAGTGCAGCTGGCTACACTCTACAGCACTACCACCATAACCGAGTACAATCGTCATGTATCACGCTACCAGCCAGGACACTACTACTAGTGTGTGTGTGCGTGTGTGTGTGTGTGTGCGTGTGTGTGCGTGCGTGTGTTGTCCTCACCCACTTACTGAGGTGTGGTGAGCCCATAAGTGGGATCATTTTCAAGTCCACCCAGAGTTTTGGGGATTTCAGGGGGTGTCGGCCGTTGGGCGGTTCAATAGCCAGTTGAGTCATCTCTCCAAGATTCCTTTTGAGTCTCTCTCCCCTCTCCTGGGAGACCCACGCGACCAGTTTTGGCAGTGAGCAACAAGTACAAGTACAAGTAAGTGTGTAGTAGTAGTAGTAGTAGTAGTAGTAGATTTTATTATTTTACTAGGGGAGTCCCAACAGGCGTTGCCTTTTTACTGGGAACCCTAGGTGAATTTTTACCATGTTTACATACAGAGTAAGAGACGGGGCCTGACGGCAGTCAGTGGGAAGAGCATTCCATCTGTCTGCCGCCAGGAAAGAAATAGAACGCATGCCATATTGCGTAGAAACAGGCGGAAGAACTAATGCGCGCTGTGCCTGGCCGCGCGTGCGAGCCTGGTGTCCAGGCACAGCAGCCCTAAGCTGAAACAAGGATTGGAGAAGGGGACTAGCAAGATGTGGGGTCAAGCAGCGGTACACGAAAACATAGAGTTTAAGATTTGTGCGCTGTTCAAAAGAATAGAGATGATATTTGCGGAGAACAATTTCAGTAGACATCATACGGTAAAACCCAAAAACTTTCTTCATTGCTATGTGACTGACCGTCACGATTTTATTGAACAGGGTGGCGCTGAGACAGTGCAGATAAGCGTTACTGGCATAGTCGAGAGTCGATTGCACAATGGATAAATAGAACGTCCTCTTCGCTTCAGGTGTTAGGTTTTTTCGGCCATGTCTGAAGGCGGCAATCTTGCCGAACACCGCACCGCAGACCTTCTCGACTTGCGGCTGGAAGGTGAGATGCTCGTCGATGAGTAGTCCGAGATACTTCACGGTGGCTGCAGGGGTGAGGGGCTTGCCTTTACAAACTAGGGGGATTGGTAGATGCGGCACAGGTTGGCGTGGGCGCCGAAGGACCAGGAACTGCGTCTTGTCAGGGTTCATGAGAAGTCCTTTGTCATCAAGGTAGAGCTCCAGAGCGCTTAGGTCATCCTGAAGCTTTCGCAGCATGTGTGTGTGTGTGTGTGTGTGTGTGTGTGTGTGTGTGTGTGTGTGTGTGTGTGTGTGTGTGTGTGTGTTTGTGTGTGTTTGTGTGTGTCTGTGTGTGTGTGTGTGTGTCTGTTGGCAATCACACGCTATGTCCCACCGTGCAGAGTACAACCAAAATCATAGGAGCCACCATGGACAGCGGAGCCATTGCAGACAGGACATGAATAAGTGCCATTTGACCCCTTTGCCAATTGACTACAATACAATTATTACCTGAGCACTGCCAGCAGCTTTCCAGTCACGCTGTCAGCGGTCTAACTCCGACTCTGGACCACCAGCGGTTGCGAGACACTCAACTCCTTCCAGTAAGCCAGCCCGCACAGGCTAAACAATGTGAAAGCCTCTGTACCACCAGGCTGGAGAAAGTAGGAACGGCAAGAGATAGCATTCAGCTTTGAACGAGTCAATTTTTACGATAAGATTGTACCGTGATGCCTTTCGTTTTTAGTTCCACTTGAAACAGGCACCAAGCAATGCCAAGTCCCCCAAGAATACGTACACCATACACACGGCTAGGCTCTCTGTGTTTCACCTACCAGTCTACATGGTCTAGTCGTGAACATGGTGAAGAGCGTAGGCTAGCCACTGCATGCTGGCTGTGCAGGCCCGGGCCGGGGCCGGCTGCATGGGCGAAGACTTGACTTGAGCTTGGTGGTGGCCGTGGGTGGCTTCACAAAAATCGTGAATTCCCCCGCTACGACGCTAGTCGGACTAGTGTTCCGAAGCACTTACTCGCTGGTGTGTAGTCGAAGGAGTGACCGTCACTCGTCAGGGGTTTGACAAGAAAGTGACACCAAACTATGTGAACTCGACAGGCGATAGACATTGCCTCGCGTTACATTGTTCGTCTTGGAAAGCTTCGCCTTCGCCGCATTGCATAATTATTGGTGGTGTCGCCTTCATTTCTGCTCTGGACGGAGTCACTCAGCCCCTCTCACTCTCAGCTTCATTCCGACAACGGTCTTATCTGAAGTGAACTGTTAGTAACGTTACGATAAACCTCCGGCCTACTGCCGGAGCTGTTGTCTCGTCACTACAAAGTTCTAGTTTTTTCTCTTTTCAGGCAATTAGTTAGTTCATTTCGCGACGACTGAGGCTTTCTGTTTGGTCAGTTTGGAATACAATCATGTAGAAGTCGGTATTTTGACGACTCCATGTAGTCTAGGAGCCAGGGGGTCATCAGAACTGAGCTGTGTGACACCCTGTCCAGGAAGGATTTTTTGACGGATTTGGAATGGCATAACAACCAGTAACTGATCCCTGAAAACCAGAATGTGCCAAAGTTGTCCGTTCAAGAGTTATGGCCTATTTACTAAAATTGCCATGGTTACCATAGCAACGTACATGTAAATTGCCTCTTTTTAGCTCAAAAGACATGCAATATGGGTCAAATAGATAATGAATGGCTGTCAAAGTCATAAGTGAAAATAAAAGTTCCCAAAACTGCCTTCAAAATATTATAAATGTCATCAGAAGTGAATTATTTAATGCTGGTGTGGTTTGGATATGTACATGTACAATGTACATTGTCCATGTATTTGGTATCATTATTACATTGTATGTAGAGGTAGTATCACAGTTACTTATCAGTGGGAAATTGCTGTGTGGTCACCAGGAGTACAAAACAAGAATTTACAGAAAAGAAAAAGGACCTTCGAACTACAAGCTACTCTATAATATCCACTAACACCACTAGTTACTGAACAATCAGCTCATGCGATAACATTGCACGACACTGACCGACGGTACTGACGTTCTACAACTAACTGGCTAACAGCTCTAGCACATCTTGGATGCGCACTACACTAGCCTTCCAACTAACTTTAATCTACTTGGAAGGTTCTAAGTTACATGTATATGATAACATATGAGGGGAAGGTGATTGTTTAGTAACTGGTGGTGTTCGTGGATATTCTCGCACAGCTTGCAGTTCAATGGTCCTTTTTCCTTTCTATAAATTTATACTTGGCTCTCTATCCAAAAATGAACTGTTCAGTATGCTTCACCAACAAGGAATGAATCTGCCCCAGACCTTGGTGCAGAAGGGTGAGTCGTCAGGCAATGCTGTTGCGGCTCTTCGCTAGTCCTTTTCTCTATCCTCCAGCGACTACATCTGTCAACGAGGCACGATAATAGCTCTTCTTCATGACTCCAGTGGGCTATCCATGAGTCGTCCCCCTTCCTAGACTCCCATAACTACATGTATATCCGTATAGCCAAAGCCACCTTCCAGGCAGCTCTTTCAGGAGACATGTGCTGCTGCTCAGTCTGGTATGATTGTATCCCAGATCCCGCTGCCCATTGATGGTATGCTACAACCTCTCCATCCGATAGCCATCACAGATTTCAGGTCCAGAGCTTTTACTGCAGCTTGACACATAGTCGCTGGAGGATAGAGAAAAGGACTAGCAAAGAGCTGCAACAGCTTTGCCTGACGACTCACCCTTCTGCACGGTCACTGCACCTACATGTACATGTAGGGCAGATTCATTCCTTGTTTGTGAAGCATACTGAACAGTTCTAATTTCGTACTTCAGTGTGCCAGTGTCAAGCGCTGCTCCTGGTGACCACACAGCAATTTCCCACTGATAAGTAACTGTGATACTACCTCTACATACAATGTAATAATGATACCAAATACATGGACAATGTACATTGTGCATATACAAACCACACCAGTATTAAATAATTCACTTTTGATGACATTAAATATTTTGAAGGCAGTTTTGGGAACTTTTATCTTCACTTATGACTTTGACAGCCATTCATTATCTATTTGACCCATATTGCATGTCTTTTGAGCTAAAAAGAGGCAATTTACATGTACGTTGCTATGGTAACCATTGCAATTTTAGTAAATCGGCCATAACTCTTGAACGGACAACTTTGGCACGTTCTGGTTTTCAGGGATCAGTTACTGGTTGTTATGCCATTCCAAATCCGTCAAAAAATCTTTCCTGGACAAGGTGTCACACTAACTCCTTATTCCTTGGACTTTTCCTGACTTGGTGTGGAACGTTCGAACGTACTATTTTTTCGTCAGATACGCACGGCTGACGTGCTAGCCAGTAGCCATGACAATTGACATGACAGGGCGGAACTGTTGCTATGGATACTCGTGTGACGTAGAGTTATGCCAGTGCAGCGCAGCGAGTGCTGCAAAAACTGGAAACTGGGAAAGCAAAAGAGGAAAGGCAAAAATACGAACATTACAAGTTCAGGAAATTGCTCTTCTTTCAGTGAAGGACTTGTGCATCGTGTTGAGTTCTTGGATCACGCACGACCCATCCATGAGTGATTACTAGTACTCCTTTTCAGTTTACGTAGAATTTAATCAACGAGACTGACCAATTTATGAGCATTAGAAATTAGTCAGACAATGGGGAGAGTGGATAATGACGCTGTACGTAACTAAACTTATGTTGTGGAACTGTGGCTGATTCGCCATCATTCATCTCACCAGAGTATGAACTGTTTTGACATGTGTCCAGTTCCTTAGCGAATTAACTCGCTTCTTCACGCGCAGCAAGGCAACCGGGACGGTTTACATAACGACGAAAAGATGTCAGTTGATTTGAAAGCATTGAATGCAAATTTGGACTCGATGGTTATCAAGGCTGTGCAACGATTTTTCTTGATTTCAGATACTGGTCAAACTAAGCCCAAACCGCGTGGTGTGAAGGATGAAGCTGAGAGCTCGAGCGACCAGAAGATGTGCTTGATTCGGGCAACACTCAACAAGAAAAAAATTAGTACAGTTGTAAGTTATGCACAAAGTCCTTCCAGAGAACAATTACTGTGAGGGAAATTTGTGTTTTTACTGTATGACATTGTACGTGCCCACCTAATGGCTTGTGTAGAGATACTGTATGTGATCAAAAATGGAAACTATTGGACTGTGTCAATGATCCAATGGTTTCATGGTTCAAAGCCATGGTTGATCTGTACATGTGTGTGCACAAACATACAAAATCATGCAAGCATGCACACATGCGCGTGTGCATCGCACACACACGCCAGTGGGCAATCAGTCCAAGTCACCTTGCATCCGTTCGGATATGTGTGACTCTGTATACAGAAGGTGTACAGTAGAGTCGCGCGCTGAAGAACGTGGAGCCCAAGAACGTCCAGCCTGAAATACTAAGAACGCCACAGCCTAAAGTTAAGAACGGCGGTGTTGGTTTTCTGGGAGCTTGTGGGATACATATGATTTAGTACGGATTGTTTTTAAGAACGCAGCCAGATTGCTGAAAAAATAAGAACGTCCCAGGCTAGCCCCCTGGAGACAACGTTCTTGGGCGCGCGACTCTACTGTAGGCACTAAATCGTTTGCCATTATGATGAACTGATGACGGTGGTAGTATATACGGTAGGACATACATGTACTGTAAGACCAGATATTTTAACGTCGAATAAAGTTATCGATCTCTGGATTTCTGTGGGTTAGCGAGGTGAAATTCTAACGAATTCTGTCTCAAAACCGGCAAATGACGATGCATGACTGTACATATTGTTTTGTACATATTAAACGACTTCAATTGTTAACGAGTTGTTTAAATTCGCTCAATCGTTGGAATTAAATGTTCAAACTAGTTAATAATTAAATGTTCGTTAACATTACTGGTCTTACAGTAGCAGCCGGTTCTGCTGATCTAAGTCTGGCTGCAAGAGTTAGGTAACTAATGAAAGTATGCAAGAATACGACCACATTGCCTTGGCACTTGATTGGTCAGATTGGTGCTGTAACAGTACTACAGTACAGGAAGTGATACTCATCTGACACGGTACATGTAGCAACAATATCTTCTCAGTTCACCAAGATCAATACTGTAGTGTCGCGTATAAAAGCATGACCTGTATAGAAGCATGACTTGAATAGGAGCCGATTTTTCTAAGTGCGCCGTGACGCAGAAGCATGATTTGAATAGAAGCCGCTCTCTGCAAAGTACATGTGCAAGTACATGCGTGGCAGTATGCACAGCGCTGTGTAGACTCCTGACGTTGACGTAGAAGCATGTATTGAATAGAAGCATGGTTTGAACCCCGGCTTATACGGCCGTAAGCACCTGCTTTTATACGCGACATTAGGGTATGTCCTGTTTTGCCTATACATGTACATGACATTGTATTTGCTGTGTGTGTGTGTGTGTGTGTGTGTGTGTGTGTGTGTGTGTGTGTATGTGTGTGTGTGTGTGTGTATGTGTGTGTGTGTGTGTGCACATGTGTGTATGTGTGTGTGCGTGCGTGCGTGTGTGCACGTGTGTATTTGTCACTACTTGCGTGCACTGCGTGCAGATTAACAGTAAAGATGTGAATCGGTTTCAAATGGTAAGCAACACACAGTAGAGTAGCACTACAATCATCATGTACTCTGTACTCTGTACTCTGTACTAGACTGTACTAGACTGTACTAGTCTGTAGTCTGTACACACTGTGCACACTGTGCATGGTATCCTAGTTGCTAGGACATCACCTTCCCGTACACTGCACTGCACAGCACTACTACTACATGTACATGTGCCACACAGGAAAGACTCAATTCAGACCGATCTCATTCACGGTAGTCACTGCACTACACGACTTGCTCTTCTGCACACTCATTCTTATGTGTACATGTACTAGTGCCAGTAGTGGTGTGTTCATTGCTCATTCTCCTCTCATTCAGCACAGCTTGTAAAACTGATGTACTGGATAGTAGAAGTTAGGAAGTCAAATTAGCTTTGTCAGATTTTGAACACAGCTTTTATCTGAATGGGCTCAGTACTGAATTCTTTCTCATTGGATGGACAGTTGGGAGTGTGTGTCGAGAATCAAGATCAAGCCATCATCATTGTACCGCCTTCCTATCCAATTGCCTTTGTAGGAAATTATGTTTGTTCTCCGCACGTTGCTTCTGTGCCATACCACCCACTGGTACTCCCTCCCAAGTCTAATCAGAGTTGTACTCTGCTTCTGTACCAGTGGTTCTCCCTCCCAAGTCTAATCAGAGTTGTACTCTGCTTCTGTGCTGTGTCTACAGGCGTATGCCAATCTTCTAAAAGCACACATGGATGGGCTGAAGAAGCCGGAAAGAACGAAATCGAAGAAATCTGACAAGAAAAGCTCATAGGCTGTGTATGGCCTGGTATTGCTCTTATGCAGTTCTCATCCATCTCCTTGTTGTGTGTCTCTTTTTTTTACATATTTCCGTTCATAAAATCGATATCTATATCCATGGCTCTGAAATCATAAAACCCAGCTCGCTGTTCATATTTGATATCTTTCAATACAAAATAAGAGACTGTGGCACTAGCAGATCATGTTTCTGACTCTCCCATTCAACTATTTTCACTTTGCCTCGCATTTACTTTCTTTGAAACTCCAGGAATTCCAGGCTGTACATTCCTTGCTGGCTGTCATGCGTGTATGTGTACATAATCATTCCTTGCTGGTTGTCACGCATGTACTGCAGTATATTGCTCGTGTCCATTGTTTTGTATGCTTTGCTGTGCTACTTGATACTTACCCAATACACTGAGAATACAATGTCATGTGTGTAACTGACTAACTGTGCAAGTGCACCGAATGCTGGAGTAGTGATAGGTGTAGTCAGTCTGTCTCTAGACCTGATTTCTGATTGGTGAATCTGCACACAGGCAGCATTATGTGAGGTCATGGGGTGTATTTACTATTAAAGGGGAAGTATACCCTAAAATCAAATTTTCACCAGTTGTAGTCTTCTGGGTGCTAAGTCGAATGGTCTTGGTCCGAGGAAGCTGCGACGCTCCCTTCCTACTTGAATCCCAATCGAACTCGCGCACTTCCACCGAAACTGGGTGACTGCGCCCTACTAGATGGGGATTTGTATGCAAAATGTCACTAAAAGCGCCATTTCGTTCTTATAAAAGCACGGATGACCGCGATTGGCCCATATGTTGTAGTCTTTTGGACGCTGAGTCGACTGGTTTTGGTCCGAAAAGGCTGCGATGCAGCGTTCCTCCTTTATTCCCAATCGAACATGGTTGAACAAGCGGTCACGTGCTCCTGCGTACACCAGTCAGCTGGTCACCGTGCCTGCAGGGTACAACTTACTAGCCTGTTTGACCTTTTTTGGGTGCAGTCCTGTCACTCGAGTTGAACTCGAGTTGAACCTTGGTGTGAAAGTTGTCGCCTGCTGGCGCGGTGACCAGGTGATTTGGGCACCCAGGAACACGTGACCGCTTGTTCAACCATGTTCGATTGGGAATAAAGGAGGAACGCTGCATCGCAGCCTTTTCGGACCAAAACCAGTCGACTCAGCGTCCAAAAGACTACAACATATGGGCCAATCGCGGTCATCCGTGCTTTTATAAGAACGAAATGGTGCTTTTAGTGACATTTTGCATACAATTCCCCATCTAGTAGGGCGCAGTCACCCAGTTTCGGTGGAAGTGCGCGAGTTCGATTGGGATTCAAGTAGGAAGGGAGCGTCGCAGCTTCCTCGGACCAAGACCATTCGACTCAGCACCCAGAAGACTACAACTGGTGAAAATTTGATTTTAGGGTATACTTCCCCTTTAAGTACTTGCACTGCAGTCTACAGGCAGTCGTACAGTCGGTACGTATACATGATTGTGTATTCTGTCCTGTTCAATGAAATCCAGTCGTGTTTTCGCAGCCCAGTGTTCGCAGGTCTAAGGCTGCGCAATACCCGTGCGTACTTGAGTGACGCGACTGGATTTCATTGAGCAGCACCATAGTACTGTAGAGGCAGACAATTTTGTCGGTCAATAATTTCGTCCAACTCCAAAGAAAAGGAGTTCGTCCGGTTGAAAATTTCGTCCATGGATCATAAGAGTGTATAGAAAAGCAGGGCAAATCGACATTAGTCCTACATTTAATTTAGTCCAAAAGCTCCTTCGACGAAATAGACGAAATTAAATTCCAGACGAATAATTCTGCTTATACAGTACTTTAGTATCACTTTCCGCTATTATATTTTATGCTGACCTTTCATACAAACTTCCAGTCAACTTGCCCATCATGCTGGCGGCTTATACTGGGCATATAAACCTCATACAAACCCCATATAGACCGCCACCATAGAAACAGGAAGAAGTTGACTGTCAGTTTGTATGAAGGTCAGCATAAGTATAATACATCCCACTAGTACGCTTGTACGTGAAATATAAACCATCATACAAACCTCGGCTTCGCCTCGGTTTGTATGTCGGTTTATATTTCACGTACAAGCGTACTGTTGGGTTGTATTATATACACATGCAATATGCCATCAAGAGTACATAAAATGTGTGCATTGATGTACGTTGCAAAGTTGAACTTTGGTCGGCTTCTGCGATTACATGCAACATGTCATTTCCTTGTTGCAAGTGTCGCGTCCCAGAATAATACTCTGTGACGTTTATGATGATGTGAATTGTGCTCTTCGCAGGGGGGGGGGGGGGGGGGTGTTTTTACTCTGCATGTTCTAGTTAGTTTGTGCAGGAGTGGTCTCGACACGAGCACTACTTGACGTACATGTCCAAGCATGTAAGTCCAACACACCACTTACTGTGTCTATGGGTACAAGTTAGAACGTTCTTGAACATCTCAAGTTCTCAACTGAGTTCTGAGGGCGGCCATGCACGCATCGTGACTAAAGTCGTTCTGTAGATGATTGTGGAGAGATCAAGAGAAACTAGCCAATCAACACACAAGAGTTACAGCGTGGCACTACAGTGCACGGCTTGATAATGCACTATGCTGTACATGTACAGTTACAACGTGTGATGCAGCCTGCAATAACATGTGGTGCAGCCTGCAATAACGTGTGATGCAGCCTGCAATAACGTGTGATGCAGCCTGCAATAACGTGTGATGCAGCCTGCAATAACGTGTGATGCAGCCTGCAATAACGTGTGATGCAGCCTGCAATAACGTGTGATGAAGCCTGCAATAACGTGTGATGCAGCCTGCAATAACGTGTGATGCAGCCTGCAACAACGTGTGATGCAGCACTAACATGCATGATAAAAAAGATCAAGGACGCTGGTCAGTTTAAAACTGAACAATATAATTCTAGATGAGTAGAAACGAGAGTAGAACCACACTGTTTGCAGCAGGCTGACGGAATAAAAGAGTGTACGCTTCTGCTCACGGATTTGTACAACAAAGAACGGTACAGTGAGATGCTGCAAGACACGCACGTTGCAGTAACAAACCGAGTGTTGTAAACAAACATCTAGTGATATAGTGAAAGGGCCATACCTATACTATGACCATTGACTACTGAGTAGTGATTTCAAGTATGGTATCACAGCACATGTCTATGGAAGCACACCAACATGCTTGTGACAGTGATATCACACATGTGCAGTGTACGGTCCGCACGTGCATACCAGGATGCTTGTGATATCACACATGTGTAGTGTACAGTGCGTACGTGCATACCAACATGCTTGTGATACCGCTACACATGCACAGTGCACAGTGAGTGCATGTGGATTGATTGCGCGAGCCACTAATGAAGTATCCAGCGACACCACACATCAAGTGTACATGTCAGCATGGGCCGTTGTCTGCTTGCTGGATTCTTGCATGTTGAGAAGAACAGCAAAACCGCACAGTAGTCAGTACTATCACACAGACTGAGAGAGTTGACTGAGTAGTAGTGTGCCACTGTCCAGCGTCTTCCTCTTCACTCCTTGAAAACATATTACTTGTAAATGTACTAGTACCAAGTACATGTAGCAGTAAGCATAGTGAGTGATACACACACTCACATAGGCTGCAGGTGGTGTACATATGCCAGAACTTGCCTACAGTGTAGTGATACACACACTCACATAGGCTGCAGGTGGTGTACATATGCCAGAACTTGCCTACAGTGTAGTGATACACACACTCACATAGGCTGCAGGTGCTGTACCAGGTGTACATATGCCAGAACTTGCCTACAGTGTAGTGATACACACACTCACATAGGCTGCAGGTGGTGTACCAGGTGTACATATGCCAGAACTTGCCTACAGTGTAGTGATACACACACTCACATAGCTATAGGCAGGTGGTGTACCAGGTGTACATATGCCAGAACTTGCTCGCTACAGTGTTGCCATAGCATTGGCAAAGCTTTCGATGATGTTGGGAGTTGTCATTGTGCGGCCGTGTGTATCGAACGCCAGGTGAGCACACATGCGTGTGAAAGAACAGGCCGCGTAAGCAGCACTCACGACAGGTCCATAATGCTGCAATAGAGTCCTGTACAATGGTACATGACACATGCACAGCAAAACAGTCAAGGTATTTCGCTACAGTTTCAGTGATTGACATACAGTTTTGTGGTCATTTTTTAACCAAAATTTCATCAATGCAATAATTCCCTTATTTCGGTGGACAATTAAAAAAATTATTCTAATTCTGAACCTGCGATAAAACTGGGGAGGGGGGGGGGGGCATGTCCATTCCTTCATTTCCTTGTGATATTGTGGTTTAAACAAGATGAAAATTCAGACTTGAGAGAAGTCACGTTTTTTCGAGCTCGTGGATTCTCACCTTCTGGAGACTGCCCAGTCGGCATCAGGCTGGTCTGGAGGTAGCAGGGTAGGTTTAGTGTTTAGTAGTAGTAGTAGTAGCTGTAGTAGTAGTGTAGGCAGTAGTAGTAACAGTAGGTAGGGCGGAAATACTCCTCCCGTTGAGGAACAAAGCTAGTGTCAGTTGCGTGTTTTCGAGCCCTGTCATGGAAAAGCCCACGGCCCACTTTAACTGGAAGCGAAAGGTCCAGCATGTAGCCATATTCGAATCATCAGGATTCCACCTGTACCGCTTTACAAGACCGGGGACCCATCAGTCCCCACCAATTATCGCCCTGTTTCCCTCCTTCCAGTTGTCTCAAAGCTGTTGGAGAGAGTGGTGCAGCGTCAGCTAGTTCGCCATCTAGACTTGAGTAATGCCCTACCTGATTCTCAGTTTGCTTTCAGGAAGAAGTGCTCCACTGAGGATGCCCTCTGTGTTCTCACGCACAGCTTGCAAAAGGCGAAGGACAGTGGTCTGGTAACAGGGCCAGGGGCGTAGCCAGGATAGTGATCAAGGGGGGGGGGGGGGGGGGGGTGTGCCAAGACTTTCCCCACACAAATGTACATGCACTTATGTTGGTCCTTTCATTAGGCATATGCGGATAATGCCGGCAGAAAATTGGCAGAATTCGGTACTTTTTCTGGTAAGTTTTATGCATGTTTGGTATGTAGATAAAGAAATGGAGCAGAATTCGAGGAATTGCCCGCCATAAGGTTTGTATGGTTCTGCCATTTTCACTGCTTTTTGAGCAGAATCTGCCAGCTTTTCGAGCATTATCCGCACACCCCTACCTTTCATGCACATTATTCAATCCGTGAAATGGGGGGGGGGGGGGGGGAGCAAAATTCGCCCCTAATTCGACGCTGAAGATCAATCAGTGAATGGCAAATCTCCAACCAGGGAGTAGTAATAATTATGGTATTTTACTACACCCTGGCCTGCTTCCAACTAATGATGGACTAAGTCCTGGATGCTGCTTTCTCCAGAATTATCACACTCTCCATCGAACTTTTAAAGTGGGATTTCTCGAGCCATTTTTCCCCTTCGTCATGTTTGATAGTGCAGTAAGGCATCCTTGATCAAACCTACACTATTCCCCACAAAAACTCCAACTGCACTTCAACGTTAATTTCACTCTTCTACTGCTGTATCCACACTTGCAATGCATGAAAGAAACTTTGCCTTTCCACAACGAGACCAATTAACAGCGAGAACTACATTATACAAAACATAGCGAGAACAAACTGCTATGTCTGACGTGTGCTTTCCGGCCATAGACTGCGTTGCTACTTCCTTGCTTCTACCAATGGCGTGTTTGTATGATTCTTTGCTTCTAACAAAACATGTGGAGTGCAATACAAATCATGTGCTGAGCCTGCTGAGGCCTGATGTGACACTGCACAACGCGGAGTTCCCTTGACTAGAAATTTCATTGCAAAATGGCCAATCATGAGACAAAAACTAATAGTCCACTAGCATGTGGATTGGTTTCAGATACATTGTACTTGCAGGTCTGAACCAGGGAGTAGTACCTACTACTCCCTGGTCTAAAACAGGGATGGCTACAGTGTGAGATGTGCAGAGTTGCGCATGTGATCAGCGGGTCTGCTATGGTCTCTCTCGAACCAGCTGTGAACCAAGATCGAAATTTATGAGGGGGGTGCTTTGGCACCCAAAGCACCCCCCCCCCCTGCCTATGCCCCTGAGGGCTGTGCCTCCTCGACATGTCCAAGGCTTTTGACAAAGTCCGGCATGGTATCTTCATCCAAGACCTTTTTGACATTGGTATCTCTGGTGTCGCCCTGAAGTGGTTCGCGAATTACCTGACAGATCGCAGGCAGCAAGTTACAGTCGCTTCGGCCACAAGTCGTGCTCTTGACTGCACCTGTGGTGTGCCCCAAGGCTCCGTCTTGGGGCCTGTTCTCTTTAACGTCTACACCCGTGATGTGAAATCGGTCTCATCGCCAATACCCAGCGTGCAATTCGCAGACGACATTGCCCTGTATGATTCAAAAGCTTCCGCTGGGGAAGTCTCCAAATCCGTCTCTTCAGCTGTCACTGATCTCGCCATATGGCTTAAGTCACGCGGCCTAATTTTAAATGCCCCCAAAAGCCAGGTAATGACTATCTCACCGCAACATGCCGGGCCTGAGGTCTCTATCGTGTGCTGCGATACCTCTCTACCGATAGTGAAGTCTGCGTGATATATTGGTGTCTTTCTTGACAACCGCCTGAGTTGGGATGTACACGTCAGCGCCATAGTGACCAAAGTTGCGAGGAAGATTGGCGCCTTGTGGCGAGCCCGTCGATGCCTCTCCGGCAAATCGCGCACGATATATGTAAAGGCTATTGTCATGCCGGATATGATATATGGTGCCTGCTGCTTCTCTGCAGCCCTCCGCGTGACCCAACTTAAGCGTCTGCAAGCCATGCAAAACCGGGCGATCCGATGCATTGATGGTAGCCCGCCATGTTCCGCGATGCAGCCCCTCCTGGCTGCCAACTCGATTTACCGCGTCACTGAACTTTTTAAACAAAAGCTCCTGATCTTCATCTGGCGGTGTCTAAATGACTCCACTAGCCTTGCTCTAGCCCAGCTTCTCAAACCAGCAGCATGCAGCGGCAGAAGTACGCGCCATCAGCATGCCAATGGTCTGCTCAGCCAGCCAGCTCGCAGTCGGTGTGGCCAACGAGATTCGCTACCGCAGGAGCATTGCTGTGGAACAGTTTGCCTAGAGAGGTGCGCACCGTATCCAGATTGCAAGATTTTAAGCTAGCCTGCCTTCCTTATGTATGCCTGGAATAGGTTGTTTCGTCAGGTTTTGACATGTTCCTTTTCTTCTCAGTATTCTCGCTCGCATAGTACTCCACTTCTATGATAATATTGCCTATGCTGTTGCTCATTAGGATTTTGGCATATTCTATCCTTCGCTTTCATATAACTGGGCCAGGAATCCGTTTGAACTTGCGAAGTAAAATAAAATCAATCAATCAACATTGGGATTTCAGGCAAAATAGCAACATTTGCGACCTTGGACCACTAGAACAGTAGTAAAAGTCACCCAAAGTCCCAAACACTGCGCTCAATGACTGATGTGCTTGCACAGCCAGAACTTTGAACAGCAGGAGAAGGACTACAGTGCGGGTCATTCAGGGAGCTGTACATTTTAAAATCCAGATTGGAGAGTACGGTGGGAGTCCACACGGAACTCTCACGCAGGTCCATGTGTCTATGTAATGAGAATGCACTGTAGGTAAGTCCAGCCCAGTAAGTGGGCAAGTTCAGGAGCAGCCGGAACAGACAACATTAGGGGTTGTCGCAAAAGTTGTTGTCATCCCTGAAATGAACATCGTTCGTTGCGGTGGGGGGGGGAGCCAAACCTCAAGTCAACCGACACTGTTCATATACATGAACACACATGCGATTTTCGTCGTCCAGCATAGCAAGCTGTGTTCACTTCGGAGGGTGGAGAGGAGGTCCGAGTACGAAATGAACGATGGTCGTTTCAGGGACAACTAAAACCCTTGGCGCCCCTATGAGAGATTATACTACAATATAGTGGGGATTGGATACAAGGACATTACTACTACATCCACTGTACAGATACCATTACCGTAAAGTACCGTCGATCCGCCCCCTCTCTAATTCCCGCCCCCTGTCGATTTTCTACCTGTGAAGCGACTTTGGCGTATACAACGAAAATATGATGTTGAACCGACGCATGCACTGCTGTACACAATATTTGCCAATCCAGGATGAAAATGTGCACAATCCAGCACATTGAGTCTGAACATCTACGTTGTTGTACATCGTACTGCACTTGACAGCCTTGATCTAATTTCCGCCCCCTGCCGAAAACCCAGCTGGGAAGCGACATGGCGTGGGGGGCGGATCAACGGTACTTTACGGTACTCCGATCTCCACTCTACAGATACCATAGTTGACACTGCAAAAAATAGAGAGTGCGTACCTGCCCATATGATACTGTCCGCTAGACATCTGTCCAGAGCTAGCCACAGTAGGCCTAGATCCTGTAGTGGCTGATCCCAATATTGCCGTTGCTGCTTTTGTGTGAGAAATAGCAGCTTCAGTGGAGCCTGTGGGCGGGCCTGTGCTAGCACCAGTAACACTTAGATGGGACCAGTGCAGCCAGGTAGCCATTGAGCCAGACAGGACATCACCTTGACCTCCACACCGACGCAATGTCCCCGGTACATCGCATGTTAGAACTGTGTAGCAAGCACACCAACACGCATACCAAAATCACACAATGATTGGACATAGCGCGCAGGACGAATTTAGTCCAATACGGCGTGTGTGTGTGTGGGGGGGGGGGGGGGAGACGTAACATTGCCACTGATATTATAGGTTCAACAAGGGAGGACAAAAATAGACTAAAAGGAATTCGGGTGGACACACCCATTCCCATAGCGCTGCAGATCCGAACCAGTTCCGTTATTTTACAACGTTTCGGCACTTGGCCATCGTCAGGTAATAACATTTATCATTGTTATCACCTGACGATGGCCAAGTGCCGAAACGTTGTAAAATAACGGAACTGGTTTGGATGTGCAGCGCTATGGGAATGGGTGTGTCCACCCGAATTCCTTTCAGAGATGAAGCTGCAGGAAGCCTCAGCCCTTCTTCAAAAAATCGACTAGACAGACTAATTGGATATCATACTTCTTGGTCTACACATAAAAAAGAAATCCAAGAAACAATTCCGCTGAGATTCTCAGTTTCATGCATAAGCAATCACCAGCCAGCACAGATAACTTCCAAGTAAAACATCCGTTGGATGTGTTTGATATAGACAGCAGCTGTGTGTGTGTGTGTGTGTGTGTGTGTGTGTGTGTGTGCGTGTGTGTGTGTGTGCGTGTGTGTGTGTGTGAGCATGCATGTGCGTGCATGCGTGTGAATGACTTTGCATGAATAACTTTGAATGAGTAAATAGGTGCCAATGGTGTCTCCGCTAAAAGCTCCCTTGTGAGATGGGTGAGGTGAAATAATTGAGCAATTTCTTGAACTGACACGACTCGCTTCACATGTACTGTCTTGTCTAGCTATATCAAGCCAATGGTAATCCAGCACATTCAGAACACGCACAGCATCCTGATGCCTCCACTATACAGCTGTACTACAAGCACAAAAAAAGAGCCATGAACACTAAACAGGCACACTGTAGACACCCATGAGCTTACCCTTTTCTCCATCAGAAATGATGTCAACCGGTCCCTTCAGCACAACGGTTACATTCGCTAAAGTCTTTGCCAAGGCTAAGACAGCAGCTGCGAGATCACTGTACTCACTAACGTCTTTGTCGAGCTACACATGAACAGACAGACCAGTAGATAGATGGACGAAAAGGCCGGCACATGATTGAACGCAGCGGCAGACAAAGAGACGGAGAACACGAAAGGGGTATACTTACAACCCTGACCACAGCGCTACACATACCGCAAAGTACCGCAAGAGCACCCCACCTTGATTCTACAGCCAGGGAAAGGAAAATTGTATAGCAGAGTGCACCTAGGTTTGTACGGTTGGAGAACCTTAGTGTACTAAGTTCATATAATATATAGCATGTTCTTGTGTGTAGCTTGCATATCCGCTCCAAGGTAAACTGAGTACGGATTGACTGCACAGTGTACAATGTGTGTACAAGATACGTGTCGTATGTATGACCTACAGACAGGACACCACCACTAAAGTCTAAACACGACCATGAAAGGGAGTGCATGGTGGGGCGCTCTCGCTCTTGCTAACGTGAGAGTCTCTGCCTCTGCTCTCCACCAGCACACGTTCATTATACGGACATGAAATATTATAGTACCTACCCGACTCTTGCACAGACGTTTGAATTCAGCAATGTTTGGTGTGAGAATTGCTGTACTACAGCAATCCAGCATGTCTGGTCTGTCAATCAGTAATCCAAGACCATCCTAAAGCACAGTGTACATGACATATAATTAAGGTCAGTATTAATTTTAATTTTTACCGCCCACGGCCGCACAAAGTCCTTGGCTACAAAAAAAATGAAAATCTCTCCAAATCTCTCCAAACTAAACTTTAAATTCCTTTCCTTTCCCTTCAAGTATTAATCACACAAAAACATGAATTTGATAATAACCTGCATGGTCTACGTACTATACTGCCATATCGGAGTCAATTCACAAACT